TACAGTTTGATAGAAAAGACTGTTTTCAATGTCACGAGTGATCGAACCACTTTGATTTGATTGAAACACAGAGAACTCAGCATTTTTAAAATAATGGCTTGCACCATCAAACAATGCTTGTTCTTTTGAATACTTGTATGGAACATCCTCTATTCACGTGTTCTGTTTTATTTTCTATCATCACTGTGGTGTTGTAAGTATGTTCACATAAATTCGAAATATCGAGGAACTGCCACTACTTCACAGTGAATGCTGGTATGTTTTTAACGTGGATCTATTTATATCCCGAACCGTCTCGGATGATCGGTTGCATGCAATCTCGTGATGGTTCTTCCTGGATATACATGATTTCGATACATTTCAAAAGTATTGCATGGGAGAGTTACAAAACATCTTTTTGATTGATAACACTCACGTTTCGTCCTCTATTGTCTGTCCTCTGAATATTCGAAAACTGCGAAACTACAAATGCCAACAGATATGTGGACATTTTCACACTGGTGTTATACCTGTCGACACGCCAATTATCGTACAACACTTCCGTACTTTCCAAATTCATGTTTGAAAGCGAATGGAAATTTTCGTCGCGTACAATATTGACCTGAAAGACACAAACGTGAGAAATTTGTTCTCGAATAATAAGTGGAATGTTTAACAAATTGAAACAATTCAAGATTCTTATCGTGCTTATTTAGCAATATATCGCATATCCACCTGGAAATCCTTAACTCGTGTGGAAACTAATTTTCTAACTGAGTTGATGAATTACTCATAAGCCCATCGTGGAAGTGTTGTCTGACTGAAATACGTTGCATCCTGAATAGACTATATCTTCACATGCACTTGGATGCTTGTTTAGGAAAGTTGGTGTCGTGTTTTATTGAGTACGATCTGCGAGTGCCTGATATTCATCTGCAGTTTTTGTCGTGCACAAGCGATGAAACGAATATTATTATGCTTCCAATCAGAACTCATCAACACTGTGTACATAATCATCGTTTATAGAAAGCTTTGGGGTATGATATATATGTTAGAGGTTCTTGTTACTGTGATCTGCGCATCAATTTATTGCAAAAGGGTTATGTTTGTTATTATATGCGCTAACGTTCTGGAAGAAAATACGTCATTTTAGATTGTCACTGTACGTTGACTAGGATAATTTCAGTAGCTTCACATAAGAACACTGTACAAAAATTTTAGTACACGTGCCTTTTACCAGATAACCAGTTGCATCCAAAAATATGTAATGCACATTAATAAATATTGAAGCGTGTGGATAAAACGCAGTCATGAACTCATTTTTTCAATCTAACTAATAGTGTGTTTCATGACATGACTGAAGTAGGCTAAGCTCATTATAATCGTCAAATAGAATTTCGCATATCACACACACAACTTTAATTTACAAAGTATCATTTGGTTCAATATTTTTGCATTTTAACAAACTGGCCCGGATTTGCAGCAGGCCACAAATCATGCAGGAAAAAATGAAAATGAAAATTTTTTAAATAAACGTCAAATACCTTGAATTTCGCCTTAAATTCCGGTTCATCCCAACATGGTAATATACCCCTTGCCTCACTTGCTTCTAAATCAGTACTTGCCAAATATCTGAAATATATATAACGACGAACATATGTACACAGGTACTTATCTCATTTCCGAAAGGTGGAGATTTATAAGGTGCTTTCGAAGAAAGAGAACTGTCTCGAAGGGAATACCTTGCTCAACATGTCACCTGTAACTCACTCAAATGTTTGGCTTATTATTGTGTCATTCACAGTGTTGCTAAATACATCTACACAATTATAATTTCCCTGACGTGAAAAGTTTTGATTCATATTTTTTGATGACTTATGAATTTGTTATCATTACGTTTATACTGTTTCAGAATTCTCGACACTATTTGCAATTATTCGTATGTATTATTGTTCATTGATAAACCAGTGAAAATCCATCAGTCTTCCTATATATATATATAGAGAGAGAGAAATAAATGGATCAACGAATCAATTAAGCAACTGATGTTAAAGCTAGCAGAATGAATATACAGTAGGCAGTAAGCAATGCTCAGGTATACATGTTCATACATTCGCAACAATAATAAAGGTACAATGATATAAATAATTTGTTATTGCACGAATAGCTTTGTCCGATAATAATTTAACAAAATGGCGTAACCGAATTAAATGTGGACATACTCAATTGCACGTGTGTTGCTATATAAAATTACTGATCCTAATTACGATATGACGACCACCGGACACGTCGCACTTCAATACACACACATTCTGTTCCTAGAGAAGAGTTTTCATTATCGAGTTAGCATTGAATTAATACATTTCTTGACAAAAACACATTCAGTCAGATGACAAACTTCACAAATGACTTATTAGTCTGTAAAATGTTCTCTGAGTAATATATTTATGTTCAGTCAGCGAAAGCCGAAATGGTTTCTTCACAACACCGATGTACCCATAAGATTTTTGTGAATAATGATAATAATAATAATAACAGATTTGTAATGCATAAATTTTTACATCTACTGTATACTGGGCCATTATCGTGATGTTTATCAACAAGTAAATAGTGTTTCTGAGAGAAAGAATCTTAATGGCAAGCGTTTTTGGACACTTGTTCATAATGAGTCACACATATACTAAGAATTGAGACAGTTAGAAAGATATTCCACCAGACATGTGTCGCTTATTTCGTTAATGGTTGTTAATCGTCACATTTTGTCTTGAAGAATTGATCAAGTGTGTCCATTTACTAACAAAAAAATGTGGTAGATATGGCAGATAATGTCAGTAACATACAGATTAACGACGTGGACGTAGTAGTAGGATTTTCAGGTCACTACAAAATGGATACAAGTTTTGATGTAACAAGTTTACATTGAACACTAGAGAGACTCAGTAAATATACGTTCTATCTCACGATGTTCAGTATTGTGATATTAGTCAGTAAACATTACTCTTCCTCATGTAACGCTTGTCAACCGCTACCAAATAAACCTGCACGCGCATACCTTAATTCGAGACTCACTTGTAAATCCCATTCTCCAAATATCTGCTAATATACAGTCCATCAGAATCATAGTCCATATCAGAACGAAACTGTCCAAATGTCAGGTTGTAATAAGTATATGGTTGCAATGGCGCTTTGAGTTTAACTCGATAACACTCAGCACGTTTAAAGTAACTAACGTCTTCTATTTCAATGATAGAACTTGTTTGATTTTGTTCATGAAGAAGAGACATCTGTTTTAAAAAAAAACAGAGACGAGAATTATTGTAAAGTGACAATATTTATATTTGATCAGAAAGAAAATTTACATTTTGAATAAATAGTACTTAATTTCCGTTTGTTTGGAATGAAAATTTTCATTCATCATGAGGAGTTTTAAGCGTAGGGTTAGCCACTACATGCCACAGAAAACAACCTCGGTAAAATATGACTGTCCAGAAAAAGGTCATTGCAACCATTCAAACTCTGGTCTCCTATTTGAGAAATCTTGATCTAGAATAGTTATGACGCCTCATAGTGAATACCGAGATTCCGCGGATGTCACGAGGACTCTCTGCCTTCCTTCAAACAGAGCAACAATTAGTAAAGGTACATAGGATGTACGAACAGTGTGGGACACCAGGAGGAATGGTCAGATAGCTAAGAAAATGAGGAGATACTGCATTATGTTCCTCGAGATCGATTATACATACTGGACTCAATCTGCATAGGAATTTAAAAGTTCTATTCTTCTGAGCTAAAAAATTGGCGATCTGCTACAACCAACATCAAATGAGTACACGTATCTGTGAACAATCGTCTGCACAATATTACGAATATCCGTTGACTGGGTAACATCAGAAACAGCTTACTCTAAGGGACAAGAAGGCTAGAACATTTATCTCCATTAAACTATTAAAAATGCAGTAATGATGATATTTTCAAGTGATCCGTTTTGAACCATAACTGTAGAATCTTACCCCATTTGATAGAATCACTTGGTGGATCACTGAATAAATTTTAAATTTTTCATTATATTAAGGCATAAATTGCTTATAAATGAAAGTGTATTTTCTTGTTTTTGATACTGGTTGTTTTGATAAAATAACCTGTTATGTACCGACAAGAATAATGAATGGTAATTTTGAGATCCGTTTGTGGACCAATGCTATGTGTATATTTTCATCGTATAACTAATAATTAACCAAACTATTCATATTCATGTCTCTCTTGTCATAAGTTTCATTTCACCCTGTAAACTGCTATTATACGATTTTCCATTCCTTAATTATACCCTGTCTATTATTCACTGCTTCCCTCATTCACAGATACATCTGGCTAATTATTGTACAAATGTTGTCTCATATTTCATTGTTACATTTTGGTCTGTTGGGTTGGTATATAAACTCAGTGTGTTTGAAATATAATGACTCATATCGCAGAGGCTCGGATTGGTTTCCTAGACTTAGTTGACTGGACTAGGCAGAAAGCAGGACCAATCAGGAATCTAGACTGCTCATACAGATTTACGCGTCATTAGTCCGATCGATAAGTCACTGACCCCTAATTGGCGGTCACAAGATATAACAACCTTTAGTTAACATTCTATGATTAGCCAATTGTCACTTTTATTTCCTTTCGTACAATTCTACTTACAAGTCGTACAAGTTGTTTTAAATGATTTAGGAAGTGAAATGATGTGACCGAGTCCTGACGAGGATAATAATATTGAAAATTAATTAAGAGTGAGTTTTTACCTAAACTTTAGCTTAAATTCTGTTTGAATCACTGTCATATAAACCATTATAAATGAAGATATTGCATCGCATTTTGCTCAAAAAACTTTTCAACAAACGATGACATAAATGTAGGTGAATGTTTCGTTTTTATTGTAGATTCTTGCATTATATGAGTTTGCCAGTTGAGTTTAAACTCATTTAAAAAAAACGGGTTATTTTCCAATAAACGTAAAGTTGAAAACTATAGCTTACATGGATTTGATCCAAGCTCACATTCAGATTATCGGATGCATGTACGAAGAACTCGGTTGTCGATACATTACAGAAAACTTTTATTGTCACAGACCCATTGAAGAAAAATGCTTGTGACTTGTTATCATGCAAATGGACTTGAATTGACAAATCGTAGAGATGTGGAAACAATGTACGTGGTAATCTAAAATCCTCTGATGAATGAATCGACACATTATTGTCATCGCCGATATTTTCAGTTGCACTAGTAGTTAACATATCTAAAACAAACGTTTGAAGTAGAATGAGATTGGTGCATCAGTCGGTATTAATCGGTTGACATTTTGCCCACGGCAATTAAGATTCCCTACCACCCATTTCTAAAAAAATGTATGGTGTCAAAGAAAAATTTAGCGATCGGTGATTGGTGTACTTGTTTTGCAAGTGTGTGCTCAAGTGATAATGAACAAACATTTTGTCACCTTTAATAATTTTGTAATTGGTCGTAAACTGTTCATCTTTGCAATGTGATTAGTTGAAATTGAAATCGTATCTAGAGCTGTGATTGGATGTCAGAATTTTGATTTTTACATTTGAAATTTAACGATAATGAATAAATCTTTTTGTGTAATCTTAGTCTTGTAAGAAATTTAGACATTTATAGGAAAAAACACCAACTTAAGTGCAATCCTACTGTTAGTGAATGTGTATTGGGATAAATTTTTGATTTCCGATCAACAATTTTAATGTCACGAGTACTTATATATATCACATAAAAAGAAAGTTTTTGGAAAAAAGCAACTGAAAACCGGTTTGAATATTTGATAATAGTGATTACTGAATGAGGTCGGTAGTCAAATCTTTAATACCAAATTAATAAACAAACTATCACTAAAGTGTATGCATAGGTTTTTTGGTAACACATGGTCTGTTAGTTCGAGAAACAAATCAACATATCAATAAATCATTATGATAACTTACTGGTTGCAATATTTATAATTCAGGTGAAGCAACCGTAGACCATCATTGAATGAACTGACTTTGACAGTATATGAATGTAGTAATAAATTTAACCGAAATAGGCACTTAATATTTAGTGAACGTTTTTTTTGTAAATGTTCATTCTTAATGAGAATTAGAAAACGTTAGATTTAAATGTGGTTAATTTTAATAGTCCATTGAAAGGGTTTATTGTGTTCACTTGTAAATTATTTGTAGTTCTGTATTTTAAAATTAATTTTTTGGTCGTAATAAAAACTAGTGTGTTTAATCAGTCATGTGTGAATATTGTTAACCGCCGTAATATGAAACCTGAATTATCTAGACATTATGAATGTAACCATTTTTGACAAGCATTTGAAATATCAGTTTCATGAAGTGTAAATGAACAAGCCTACGTCGTCTGACTGACTCAACAAATATCTATCGACTTTAAACGTATAAATATGAATAAGGTCAACTGTATCAATGAACATTTACAATTCTATTATTATTTATTTTCCTTATTATTATTATTATTATTATGTCAATTGACAAGATTCAATTGTCATACTATGCATTTCATTGACACAAAATTTTTTGCATTTTAAATTTTCCTATAATGCTCTTCCACTTATTGTGACTGAACACTGTACTGCAAATAATCCAGACCTTTATTGAATGACCTTTGTAATTTGCAAATGTTACAATTTGTAACTATATATATATATATATGTCGTAACAGATGTAAACGTTCACCATTGTTAATACATTACATTGTCAAATTCATTAATGCCATGACATATTTTTGGCCTTTATAAAATATGGAAATTATGGACTTATAACTGTATAGTGTGATTGTACCAGTAATTAATAGTTATATGGGTGTGCAAATGAATACGTTGATATAATCAGTGGTTATGAATAACAATGAAGGCTTAGTTGACGATCGGACTTAATTCATACGTACGCTTAGTTCTGGTTTCAGGTACTATTAATATAAAACTGGAATATGAAATTCTTGCATTTTGTATTCATGAAACGGATAATATTCTCATTTCTTTTAACACTTACTATATGACCTTTTAATCGGATTACTAATTTCAATGATGACGGCTTCAACTTGTTTTATAATGTCAGTATCTTATTCATAAGGAAGATATTTTTCTCAATTTTGTTTACATCTCTATGAGCTTTAATCACATTCATCTTTGTAACTATCTTATTATATTCACTACTAAATTTATTCACCTAACGACAAAATAACGATTTTCACTATATTAAAATATTCCTATTAAAATGTACTAGTAATAGATAGTTTAAAAATATGTTACTAAGACATGAACGGTAATCACATTATTTTACATCTAAAATTATTAGATAAGTGTTCATAAAATGACAAAATCTTGTCTGCTTTCTTAACCTTTATATGTATTATACATTAGAAACAAGTTTACGAATACATGAGCGATAATCGCTTATCGATTATTAATATCTAAGGTATATCGAAATGCATTCGACATTAAAAAGTGCTTAATCACTTGACCTTTGCCAAAGACAAAAACAATATTGGGAAAAATGCCTTTAAATCAATTTGTGGGTGGCCCTGAAAAGGGCCTTTAATCGTTCTCGCGGTGGGACGTCCAAACTATTAGTTGGTAATGGCGCCACACATCGGACAGTGTACTGCTCGTACGTTCGGTGATGGGTCATAAGCACAGAATCTATGAAACATAGCTTCACAAGGACAGAAAACCCAACCCACTTCATCACCAGTTTCATAGGGCGGCTGTGCAAGATTACAGATGTCACACAAACGGTTCTCTTCATCTTCTTCATTTTGGATGTCCCGTTCTGTTAACTCTTCTGAGTTTATAGAAACTACGTCATCCTCGTCGTTACTTAACGTTTCATCCAAATCGACATTTCCTCGATGCATCAACGGCGTTGTAAAGTTAGTCGACATGCTTGTTCCACTGTACAACTGCGGTTCAGCCTGTAAGTTCAACGGCGTTGGTGGTAGTCTACCGTGAAGTTCTTGATAAAACTGGCTATAAAGTGAACTGCATTGTTCCTCAGACAGTCGCCTGATTAACGCAATCACTGTATTCTTCATGGTCGGCTGGCTCAATTGCATTGGGAAATAATTCTCAACTGCAATACGAGTCAGATAAGTATCAGAGTGTAACCACCTATCACAAATTGACTGTAAGTTCACATCAGTCATACTGTGTGTACAGTAAGCCAATATGTGCCGACATGGCAAACCGTTTTCAATGGAAAATGTACAGGAGCAGCGCATGGAATCACGGTGTACATTGTAAGTCCCTGTTGCGTCCACAGCCGTGAATAAGTCAGCAGACATTACAAACTCCGTCAAAGGAGTGCGCAAGTGCCGCCTCAGTACCTGACATGCAGCTGGTGTCAGTCGTTCCTGAAGTCCACGCATTGCTGGCTCTTGGCCGATGTTGGCTTTTACCCGGCAATCTGATGTATATTTCTGTAATCTTGCTTCCATCCAATATCCAACGCGAAGTAGCACACTAAATATAGATCTCAGCACAGGTGTTTTTCGACTCAGTTGATGCATCTTCAAAATTCGGTGACTTGTCTCAACAAAGTTCGTATTATTGAGTTGAAGTAGCGTTGCTGATGGTCGAAAAGCTGTAGACCATTTGTGTTTTCTCGCTAATAAGTGGTCTCTGACATATCGGGCAAACGTTCCGTCCGATATGGTGAGCATTGGGATACACCTGCATGATGGCAGCAGCTATTGCAGGTGAATCATCTGTCACAATGCCTACCACCTGTCGACTGTTGGTTAAACCTTGGAAGAACGACAGGAATCGAGAAATCAAAGTCGATGTTTCGCGACTTATAAATGCAATACAAACGGGTATCGCCTTCAAATTCATATCCAGGGCTACGACCTGATATAAATAGATATTCTCGTTATTCGTCTTGTATGTTCCGTCCAAACCAATAACATCACCGAAACGGTCTGCAAAAATCTTTTGATCACCAGTGCTGAAGAAAAAGTACGATAGACAGTTCTCATCGTCTAATTCGTATTCGCATCGCCCACCCAAAGATGTTATGTGCGCTTTCAATTTCCCGTAATCACCTATCGTTTACATTATAAATTGGCAAATGGCTTACCAGGAATGTTCGCCTGTGAGAACACTTTGTACCGCATATTATAGATATCTTGATCAGTCAGTAGTTTCCCATAAGAATGGTAAGCATAATTCTTAATGTGGAATTAAGCAGTACCAGATATTAGCAGCGGTCGCACATTTTCAAACTGGGCCTCTGTTAACCTGCGCACCCATGAATTTCCTTGGTACCTTAGGGAATTGCACTCGTGATTGTGATGCACATTCCCACGTACAACAGTCCAGTAGCCGTCGATAATCTTACAATACATGAAGGCTTATACTCTTGTTAGTCACTCACGAATTATGTGCGATTATAAAAATGATGTGCATGACACAATTGTCATTTCGTGTCTCTGGAATATTTATCACAATGATGAAAATTGAATCAATATTGTACATTTAGTACGATAATAAAATCCTTTAGATTACAGTACGAAAAATTTCATTTGAAACCACACATTTTCTCAAGCAACAACTGGCTTTGATTAGTTACAATCATCAGTAATAATGAGATTTGTTTTAAGGATTAGTCGGATGAAATGCATTCAGTGAGTGTGGTATTAATATTTGAAAATTTGTCAAGCTGTAGAGTGATACCTGGAATCCTGATTTCTGAAGACAAGCTTACCTTTCAGAAATCTCTACAGTATGAAAACACACAACTAAACCTCAATTCTTAAAACCACGCATAACATCATTTTATTGCATTTTAACAGTATATGCATGGGAAAACTGGAGTGATTCAGAGTAACTTAAAGAGAAATAATTACCATAAACTTTCTGAGATACAAATCTGAAGAATATACATCTGTATGAAGAATCGCGAATCAACTATTCCAATGATGTCATCGAATTTCAGCCACGTTTCGATGTACATTGTTGAGGATATCTCATAGAAAAGAATAATATTTCTAACTAAGCGTTGCAAGGATTGTTGAATTTTATTGAAGCAATAAACAGATCAGTGTTAGACCACTACTGAAAACATGAAGTCAGTTGATGGTTGTTTCTTCGTAGAACTGGATATTTCAGGATTTTATATTGAAAACCCTGTCTACCAGAATCGAACTAGAAGAATTCAGTCTGGCGCGCAAACGCATAACCTGTAGACCACTAAACCTGAATCTAACGATGCTTTAAGCTCATCTCAATCACTCCACGGTATTAGACAACCGGATTCCATTATTTTTCGTGTGTACGTGACTAAACAGAAGAATCGGTAAATTTTTGAATCATATTGATACAGGATTAGATCGCCGATCTAAAGTCAACGATGCTGTGACGGATTAAAGAGCACTCTATATACCATAATACATGTCACACGATGATATATTTATGCAACACTAATTGTTGAGCTATTAAAAATAAAAAAGAAACTGATAGTAGATTTTGCTTTCACACAAGTAAAAAATTGGTATAAACGTACTTGTGTGCAATGGAACATTAAAGAAATTCCTAGAACTCGTCAATTCTAAAGCGTCATCAGCAAATATAAATGCGAGTATCAACACAATCGAAGTGATAAATGATTTCCTTGTCGGTATTAAAGTTGTGTTTGTTAACGTTTTTGCATACATTGAGTGGATACATTGACAGTGATGTGTGGAATGAAATTGTCTTCCATCATCATTATCCATAACCAACATGTCCACAGAGTTCTTTTGTTTAGATAAATGTTAATCAACGACAATACTATCCATGCATTCCATACAGTGTTTGGCACAGTTTCCTTTTATAGATATCTTGCTAACAAAGGACAAATGTGATCACAAACAAAACGTGACTGGTTGACAACGTTTGCAATTATAAACAATTTCACGCTTACAGATCGTGATCTAAAGTTTAAGAATCACATCAACAAGATGAGACTTGTCTAGTGAACTGTTGACCTTTAAACGGTGTTAAGTTACGTGACATTGGTCATATGCAATTTTGAATTGATTGCTGGACTTCTATTGTGTCAAATAATGTAATGCAATTTTCGTAAAATATTTGTAACTTAGTAATCAGTATACACAACAATATCTAGTCAATATATCAACTGATTGGAAAATTGTTTAAGAAAGATTGTATTCTGAGCATAGGTTGTCGTTAAAGTAAAACCTCTATCTTAGCTTTATGTTTTCTCTGATGCTCTTATTCAAAACTCAGATACGTCCAGACATATGAAAAAGCGGCTAGGAATTAGGTATTATTCGTTCGTCTGGCGGAATTAACATAGCATTATTATTAACTGTACAGGAGAATAATGTACTAACTTTAGTTTTTCTCGTGCAAGGAAATAAATATATTGATGTTGCGTTAAGTCAGCTGATGGATAGATGAATTCTGGACAACATCAGGATATGACAAAATCTTGTTTGTTCTGACCTAACGATGAATTTGTATACAAACGCAAAATAATTATCAATCATCATGAAATGTTCATTCTATTGGAATCATGAACCGATCAGTGTGAGACCACTACTGGAAAAAGAAAATCAGTGGACTGTCGTTTCCTCGTAGATTGGGCATTTCAGGATTTTACATCCACAACCCTGTCCACGAGAATCAAACTGAGGAAATTCAGTGATTCACACGCGCGCCTAACATCTAGACCATTGAACGGAATCTAACGGTGTTTTGAAACAAACTCAATCAGTCCACGATATTGAGCGATCATCCCCATTGTCATGAATGGGTCACCACTTCACACTCGAAAAACATCCGCTCCATTCCTCATAGACTAACAGTAGAAATCTAATACATTAGTCCACGCATGAGACCAGAGGCTCTGAGTCCTATCTCCGTGGAGATGTTTGAAGAAGTGTTCTGCAGAAATGTCGCATGTTAGGACGAAACGACTGTACTGTGATTCAAATTTTACATTGGTGGTCCATCACTGAACTGTTGATGGTTTGATTGAAATTCTATATTTTCATGAACTTTTTTCTCATAGAATATACCTCCTTTTATTACTGTTTGACAAACTGCCGTAAACACTGAAATAACTCAGATACGGTAAGTTAACGGTTTAACACCTCTGAATATTTATTCACAAATATAGATAATTAAATAGTGAATGGTTCCATCAAAAATAACCAATTGGCTTGCATTGTAAATTCACGATACCTAAGGTACCTCAGTTAATGAACATGACATCACCATAATTTCAACCAATGCAGAGGCCCACTTCTACGAGCACAGCGTGAACGACACACGTGCCTAATTCCTCGCAGTAGTAAAGGCACTACCGCGATACGTCACACGTAGTATGTATATTAGTGATGTTTCAGAACCTTTTGAAATCGTTAAACGATCTGTTCCTACACGTGGAGGGTCGACTGGTCTACACCCCTTTCACGACTTAACAGCTACCTTGAAAGGTGCAACAGTCTTTTCGAAAATCGACTTGGTTACAGCCTATAACGAGATTGTTATGGCCACTGACGGCATTTCAAAAAAACGTATTATAACCCCTTTGCGCATGCTTTTTGGCCTAACAAATTCTGCCCAGATCTTCCGAATGTTCATAGATGACGTACATGTGTATGTTGATAACTACTTGATTGCACATTCTTGATTACACAAAACCGACCACAATTAGGCAATTAAGTACATTTAACAGCCCTGTAGGTTTCCGTAGACGGTTCGTACCAATCTGCGCGTCCTTTCCGAAAACTTTAACCGACCGACCTCTGGGAAATCCAAAATACATCCACTTGGACGATACCGCGAAAAAAAGCATTATTCATATTTAAGTAAAATATTGCAAAAGCAACCATGCTTGCAAATCAGAACACTCAAGTATCCATTAATATCTCAGTAGACGCATCCGACTCAGCAATCGGAGGAGTCACACAACAATGGGTTAAGAATACCTGGCAAACACTGCCATTCATCTCAAAATGGTTGCTAGACATTTAATCGTGGTAAAGCAGTTTCTGTAGGGAACTCCTGGACAAGTGTTTGGCAGTAATTTATTTGAACACTCTGTGAACCACATTTCAACACACTTGATCAAACCACAGTCTCGTCCAGTTTACGTCACACCATCATTTCAGCATTGAATGAGAAGTAAAAATATGTCATCCCATTTGTAATAAGAGTATAAATAAGCATCAAAAGGCGTTAAGCTGGTTGTTTAGTTGTAAACAAATCTTGAGCACTAGTGAAAACGTTACTCAAAATGTTGTTCACAAAAGCCTCGATCACATGTCAAACCTGCATCACTCAGAAGAATAAGCATGATGAACTCACTGATTATGTCAAACGTGATCGACGAATGGAACAGTCACACTCTCATAATGTTACTCTGAACAATTCTATGGAGCAAATGAAAACAACAAACACAAATCATCAGACTATTATATCAGTGTGACCACAGAACAAGTGTTTCTTGTCAAAGTGTTTACGAAGTTCGATGCAACTTATTTATCAAATTGAACATTCACATTTATTCAGTTTGGACACACGAAAACACTTCCAATATGTGTTGGTATTGACATTTCCACAGTAACGAAACTTGATGGAAACTCGAAGAAAAAGATGAATAAACAAGAAGTTGGCGACATAGTCCTCGTGCTATAAAACAGTCATAAACCGAAAGGAGAAATGTAGGGTGTTTAAGATAACAATGACCGGTATTCACAAATGCTTTGGAAAGAAACAATAAAAGTCCAGCAATCAATTCAAAATTGCATATGACCAATGTCACGTAACTTAACACCGTTTAAAGGTCAACAGTTCACTAGACAAGTCTCATCTTGTTGATGTGATTCTTAAACTTTAGATCACGATCTGTAAGCGTGAAATTGTTTATAATTGCAAACGTTGTCAACCAGTCACGTTTTGTTTGTGATCACATTTGTCCTTTGTTAGCAAGATATCTATAAAAGAAAACTGCGCCAACCACTTTATGGAACGCAAGCATATTATTTTTGTTGTACCATGGAAATGAAATGTTAGCATTTACTCATTATTATGTGAAATTATTCATCACTAGTTTTGGGCATTATTATCACTAACTTGTTCATTTATCAAAATGAGCTTGCTAACTAACTCAAATGACCAACAGAACTTGCGAATATATTTCAACGTAGAGAATAAACATTAAATTAAAGTCTACGGACGTCGTATTCACAGATTGTTGGGTAGAGCAAATCGCAGTTGAATATGCAATAATTGAAATTTCTTGGGCATTTGTCGCTTAACCTCCAAAGAATTTCTCTATGAGGATGTAAATTACATTATTTAATATACATATAAGTTGCAAAATCTTGATGAACAAACACTTGAAAACACAAACAATCTTATCATTTTTATAGAGTATAAGCACTAATTGCACACCAGATCAACGTTTAAAAGTTTTATCAGATCATAGAAATTAAACAAATGTTGCTTTACAGATAAGCATGCATTCTGGTAAATAGGTATAATAATTAATAGTAGTATTAATAACAATAACGATAATAAAAACAATACTAATAACGATAATAGTAAGATTAATGGCAATTATTCATAAAGTAACTGAGCTTGTATATCCATTTTTATATCATCTTTGTACTATAAAACACATTCTCGTCCATCTGTAATAAAGAAAAATGTATATGACAGTGACAACTATTGTTTAAATGAAAATTCCCATTTTGCCATTTCGTAAATAAAGAAGGAACGAATTGAGCGAAGAAATTTCTTTTCAATTTGTTTTCGACCTGATGACTTGTGTCAACCTAGTGAGAGAGAATAGAACTTTTACTCACTTTCACCAGTCCTTTGCTTAGTCATGTCGGATCATGTTCTGTAATACGGTGACGGACCTACCGAATTATACGCCCTATGTAACTGGCTCCACAGGAGCAGTTGAAACGATAGATACACATAGATTTGGCGAAGTCTGGCAGTCTGTCTTTAATGGATGTTCTTATTTTCAGGTGGTTGTAGAAGATGACATTTAATTTGGCAGCATTAAACGTTTTTTATACAGCTCTTCGTAGTTTCTGAGTCATGACTTCTTCATTGGTGTCATTTATGAATTGTAGTTTTATGAATAATACCTTCTTGGGGGCGGTGGGTATTTTTATCCTTGTTTTCTTCTCCGTCATATGTTTGTCCATGAATTTCGTGGAATACCCATTCAGACTGAGTAGGTTCCGAATATTATTCAATTCTTCTCTAATGGTGTCTTCAGAGCAGATCATTCTAGCATGATGTGTCAAGATCTTCATCAAGTTCCTTTTGTATTTGATTGGAACTGCACTGTGGAAATGAGTGTATTGACCTGCTGCTGACTTTCTGTGTACCCTTCTTTTTATAGTTCTGTTCTTCTAGTTAGTTGTACGTCTAGAAAAGATATGCTATTATTCTGTTCATCTTCTGATGTAAGGTTAATTGATGGATGAACGTTATTAAATATATTCAGTAAATTGTGCTTATCATTTTCTTTTTCTAATACTATGAAGGTATCATCTATATAGCGATAATATGTTGGTAAATGGGTAATTGTACTTTTAAGTGGTCCATTTTCCAGTTTTGCAAGGAAAATATTAGCCAGTAGAAGGCCCAATGATTATCCCATGGTGACTCCACCCTATTGTCTATAGTATTCATTGTCAAATCTGAATTAGACGTTCATAGTGCATCTAAGAATTAATTGTTTTTCGCGAAT